CTCCTCGAGCAGTAAAATTGCCCAAGCCCGTGACGCGATGACGGCACCGTCGGAGAAGCAAGAGGAAATTTCGGGACGCGCCAATCCATGGAACTTTGAACTTACCCTTACTTGTCAGTGTAGTATTTTTCTCTGCCATAATATGTTCCCTCTCTTTCAACGATGATCACTTTTCTCAACCTTTGGGATTTCGCCATCTCCGCTATAGTGTTGGTATAATTTCTCTATGTCCAAGTTTGTCAAAAGATAGCTGCGCACGGTGAACCCAAACAAAACCCTGTTCCTTCCCTGCTAGCGTGGTGACTCGATACAGGGGTTCGGTGATGTTATCTATTTGAGTGGATCCTCTCTCTGTCTTTCAGGGACGGGCAATAAAGCCAGGAACGGTACCAACCCCTTTAAATCCTTGGTCGTTATCTACCCTAGTATCTACTATCAAACTATGGACCCAGATAGATGTTTGGTCTGTAATTCTAGATTCCAATGGATCCTTGGGAATTATCTGTTGCGGTCATGGACTGTAGCACTATTGTTTGAAGGGGGTAGGAATACCACTACGGCAATGTTCCGATCGTCGCCTTAGGCAGTCACTACGGACTGACTGAGTGGTTTTGTTTGTTTTGTTTAGTAGTGTGCCACCGACCGTGTTAATTATAGTAACCCTACTAGGGAGAGAAAGCACATGGATCGGGAGGGACTCCGAGCATAGTGCAGCAATTTCCATAACCAGTTGAGTAATCTCCGAGAAGACATGGATACTAATTGATCATCTCATTTACTTTAACCTCCAATCCCTCTTGCTTTCCCTACTACCCCGCCACGCCATTGCTCGGATTACTCTCCCAACTCATGGCGTCTGACATACACTACTAAGAACGAAGGAAGGCTAGCGGTAGTGCTTTGACAGGTCACAGATCCTGATGAATCCAGTAATTACAACTGACGCGTCCTCCGGGGGTCTACTTGCATTCAGTGGTGAATACCTACAGGAAGTCTATACCGCTATTGGAAGACAATGAACAACGCCGGAATACAGCGCGAAACCCAACTTGATATAGTAGACCTTTCAAATTACACGGTCACCCCTTCTCAACCCTCGCAACCCCATCCATCTCTGGTATATTCGGAGTCTTTTGCCACCAATTCCCAGAAGCCGCATCCTGCGTGCCACTCCCTCCATCCGTCCCCAGTTCATGTGTGACACCGTCACTACTAAGTTCCGCCAGCCTTGTCTGAGGCGATCTATAGACGGGTGGATGCGCCATGGCAGGGGTATCAGTAGTCGTAGTAGTCTCTTGGCTGGGCTGGGCGCGTCGGCGCTTGATTAAGAAAAAGGCGAGCCCTGCAATGGCACTGGCACCGACCACCGCCCCGACAGTGGCTCCCGCAATGCCCCCTTTAGATAGGGAACTGCCCTTGGAGCTGCCTGTACTGCTACTACTGCCGTTTGCCGATGTCGATGTCGAGTTTTCACCCGCTGTGGAATTGGTGGTAGTGGTGATGATTGCTTTTTGGAACATGGTCGCCAACGTTGTGTCGTTGAACCCATTCTTTGGTTCGGTGACATTGGCTCCGCCCGTCGAGCTGTTCGTGGTTCATCAGCACCAAAGCAAAACTAATCTCTCGATCGGATTAACGTACCTTCCACCAATGACATCGGTGATTGCTGAGCTCAGGGCATAGTCTGATTGATCATCGGCATTATAATCAGTGAGCCAGGTATGCTGGTTCAGATCAAAGATGGCCAGTCCGTTCTCAAAGGTGCCCGTGTCGCAGTTTACCGGCTTCGGCTCATACTCTGAACTGTCTGTTGGGATCGTTCCTCCAACCACAAGCATGGTATGCTTCCCAAGGACATTGCATGTGTGCTTTTCGCGGATACTGCTCCCCTCGTTCACGCGGATCCATCTGAACGACGGCAGTGAAAGAACGTATACATCGCCGTCGGAATTCGCAGTGGTCGCGGCCATCCCGCCAAACATATAGCTAAATTGGAGGTGTCAGTATCCCCAACGATTGAGCATAAGCACCAATGCTTACATGGAGAACGATGACCGATCTTGTGCTGCCACCGTCACGCTGCAGCCCGCCATCCGCCAGTTCGGAATATCCCCGGTAGTCTGCTGCGTGTACCATTTCTGGTTCGCGATATCATACAGGCTGACGTATTCCATAGGGTTCTAACTCTTGTTAGCTGACACCCCCAGCAATAACCAAGTAGTCGAACGTACATGGAAGGTCGTATTCGTCTGGCTCGAACAAAGCAGCGACAGCTTATGCCCGACAGGATACTTATACCCACCAAAGGCTACTAAAAGCCCCTCATCCCCAACATCCTCCAGGATATTCACATATCCCGCTCCAATCGTTCCATAATTATTCATCTCCGACGTTGATGTATTGGACCACTGCAAGGTCGATTGATCCAACACCAACAATCCACTGACGATTTCCACGTCCGCTCCCGCAGTACCATAGATGTTCGGGTTTCCGCCCGGGTCTTCCACACCCCCAAGATAGTACGCTTTATTCTGGGACTGCGAAACAACTGCCCCTCCCTCTACTAGCCGAACCAGCGGCACGCCCCCGAATCCATCTTTCGTCCAGTTATTGTTTTGGATGTCGTATTTCCACGTTTCCACGGGCGGGACGGTTGTCGGGCCGTCGCGACCGCTCTTATACCCGCCGTAGAAGTAGAGGTTCTCGCCGTCGTTGAACGCGGAGCCCTCATCGAGAAAAGTCGGATACTCGTCCGGATCGGATGCATTATACGGTTTGTCGATATGAGTGAAAAGATCTGAATCGGTATTCGAGAAAGATTTGGAGACGTCGACGGTCTGCAGGTCGCGGACTTCAACCCGAGATATTAACACATTGTTCGCCAGCAAATCAGACACACATGAGGTAAAACATACTGGCATATGCCGAAATGGTATTGTTATCCTCCAGATAGCGCACCTCCCCACCGTCAATGAACAAAGTCTGGTTATTAATGATAGCTAAGACACAGAGTCAGCAAGATACGCAGCCAAGAAAACCCACAAACACTATGCGAACTCACAAGAATGAAAAGTTCGGGTGCAGTATTTTCTCCCGGCGGCCAAAGAGGCATACAGCCCGACGATCTGCGCGAGACCCTTCATCGTGGAGGTCAACTGGATGGTGTCTATGACCAACCACCACCATTACAAGGAGAAACGTCCATGAAGTGAACAAGATCAAACATAAGCGGACAGAAACAAACAGGGAGGTGAGTCTGCCCCCTTATGGAAATTAGAGTGAAACTCGGCCCCCAAACTGCCACGCGAAAATGTGAAGAAGGTCATGCGCCATAGCCTCGCTCTAAGTCCGTGATCGGCAGACTGAAGGATTCCACGAGGCGGTATCTGCGGTGGAATACGAAAGTCGTTATTTGCAGTGTTCAACATGTTTATCTAGTCATAGTAATTGGAAAGGGAGTACCATGACTCGACAGTAATTAATATAGCAAGAATCTATGACTAGGATATTTAGATTGTCTCCAAGTAGTCTATGCATTACAAGGGTAATGGTGAAGGGAACACCTAATGATATCCCTGACCCTCCCACTAATATTTAGCAAAGCTTGGCAACGCGCTACCGGCATCCCTAGTCAAAATCCAACGTCAATTGATGGTTTAAGCCCATTAAAGTGCCCCGCGGTGGCGTTCCCGCTCCTGAAGTTCGTGCCCTCTTTGGTGCATCCCTTTCGTGTTCATTTTATCAAGAGAAATAAGCATCCCCACACATACACCACCATGTCTGTGGAAGAGTATATCTTCATTCTGCTAGTAATGAAGCACTCCATGATAAGAATCAAGGGTCTCGTCCTAGCCAAGAAAGCCAGCGTAGGGGAAAAGGCTCATTGGGGATGAAAATATATAGATGAAGAGCTGGAGTCCGATTTGAAGCTGTTGCGACGGGATCCCTGCCTGAGGCCCTGAACCAGCGCCACGGAATGATTAGACTGAATCATTTGAGACAACTGTCACCCGTCAACATTTCATTTCTTTTCTTTCTTCTCTTGGGTTACCCATTCAACATACCCTGCAGTCGGTCCTCAGAGCAGCATGCATTCCTCTTAAGGCTCATAGACCCTGCTCTGCATCCGGCCCATATATCAATGCCCTCTTGTGCTGGTAACTATAATGTCTCAAGTTGGTGTGAACTTTCTTTATAGTATTTAGACTTTCTTCGCCGGAAGCATGCAGATAACTATTTCACTAGTAGACTCCGGTTGACACTCCGATACAATGCATGCAGTGCTCTTTTGTGAAGTGGACATATAACTAATCACTGGGATGTTGTACACGAGCTGATGAGTGGATGGATGAATGAACACCCGTTGCTCCTATCATTTCTACTGCAATGCCCTATAAAAATTTTTCTTCACACCATATTGTGTATCATGTGTGGAATCTCACAATCGTGATCAGAGAAGGGACACATACCGCAGTCAGGTTCGAGAGTCCCTTTTCCCTTTCAGAGAACAAAATCCAGATCTCTTATTCCGGCTTAAACTTCCAAGTTTCGAACCAGTATCCTTGCACTCCACGGACGGAAATCTCCAGAGTGCCGATTTCGCTTTGAGTAGCATTGCCGGTCAATTTCACTTGCTATCTTTACATTTTGGATCTAAGTCTTAGTCCGGAGATCTAATGGAATGAAGACGTCTTCATCAGACCATTTGCTGGCTACGCAACACTGTCCTACTGCGCCAGCGCTTTAGATCTTCCCACTTCTATAATTAGAGGAACTGAAAGCAACTGAAACATGTCTTGATCTTCTTGTACAAGTTCCTTTGGCGGAAGTGGCGTTGGTTGTTTTCATCTTCATAGAATTCTTATATGAAGTGAAAGCTTAACTACTACTAACCGTAGGAGTATGAACTATTCCCAGACACAGCTTCAAGCTCTGCGGATTCAGCTTTTCACTGAATACACTTACTACCACCGCTTTTGTAGCTTCATTACATCTACAAGATGAGTGTCCTCAACTGGCTTTATGTAACAGTCAAGCGAGAGATCAAATTATCATACGCGTTCATGGAAAGCAACTTTGACGCAGCCTTTGTTCCTTTCCCCATCTTCGCTACCGCTTCGTTACTATACCGAAGGTCAACCTACGAAGAAGCCTTATCTTCCCTCACCAGTACGATTAACCCACCATTCATGACATCCCATAGTAGTTAACCCTACAACACAGACACACTGCTCTACGGTTTCTTCCTCTACTACAGCACAGAACTAGCAAACAATGCCGATGGAGGCACAATCGAAGACAAGATTAACAAGCCAAACCGCCCAATAGTGCAGTCCCAGACTACCGTGGCTGCAGCAAAACTACGATTCTACATCGCATCAGCAACGTGGCTCTTATTAAGCTACATCCTAGACGTCTACATCTGGTCTCTGCTCTGGATAGCTGTCCTCGTTTCCCACTACCTACTACGAGCATCCAGAATAGGACCGGCAAAAGATCTCTGCATCGTTCTAGGTGTCACTTCCCAACTCATGGCCTGTTGGAAGCTGGGTGGCTCCGATATGCGTGAGGGCTGGAGGTGGGTCAAACTGATTATTCTTTGGATTTTCTTCACCGTTCCTATACAGGATTTTCGTGATGTTCCCGGGGATTTGGCTGCTGGACGGAGAACGACTCCTATCCTGTTGGGGGATTTTCCGGGTATGTGTTGCGCATGAGTTGTACGCCTATTATTTGTTTCGTTTCAATCGTCTCTGATCGTCATCGCCAATAGCTCGAATTTACACATCGATGGGACTCGTTACAACCGAGGTACGCTTTCACCATGTTTATTCCCCTCCCTACTACCAATTGAATGCTGAACGCAGGAGCTGACGTGATCTATGTAGTATATCCTCATCACCCACAGAGTCTTTGAACCTGGGTATACTCTGCCCACGTCACTTATGACTTGCCTCATATGTCTTGTCACTATAGGTCTCATCTATCGATTGATCCGATTTAGAACAATCGAGCATGACCGAGTTTCATATAGGTGGTACATTGCGCTGTATAACTTGATACTACTCACCGCCTGCGTCTCATTTGCCTCCCGAGATTACAGTCTTGGTTCAAAGCTGTCACTATGAGTCAAATGGTTCCCACATTCTTCGACCAAGTTTTGGTTGCTTAGAAGGGAAAACTAGTGGCCGTGGTGAAACCCATCATCATTGTACTCTGTTTGAGGGGGGTGGGATAATGCGTATTATACATCCTTGAGTGATAAAGGGGCACTTGTCCAATCCGACTACGATACAACAATACGCACAATATTATTCCCAGAAGACAAAGTATCCTGCTTGGTCTATAAACCCCACAACAAAGCCTGTTGCCTTTCTACTTCCCTCCAGAGTATCTCAGCGCGAGTATCAGTAGGCCGAGAGAAGAAGAGAAACTGTTCTAACAAGGTCCGCGCGCTGTCCCACGTTGTGAGGGATAGTTGGCCGGCGGCCTCGGCGAGGCGGTTCACGAACCATCCACGACTAGGATGGCCCAATGCTGCGAGCCCGCCGGTGAAGAGCATCCAGAAAACTAAATCGGGCGCCATGCGGTGAATACAGAGAAACGCAGTTTCCAAGCGGCAGTGTAAAGCCAGTACGGGCTGATTTAGGAATAGCAAGCCCTGAAAGCCCCAGACTTGGACTGCGGCGAAGAGCAGTACTGATAGTCGCAGGCACTCCTGCAAGTCGGAGGGCATACAGTCTGGGGCGATCAACAACAATTGTTGGGCTGTGTAGACCAGCCATTCGTTGAGTACAGGAGCTTCCTCCACTGGTCCAGTAGTACACATGTAGTGCGTGGTTTCTCGGAAAAGCTTGATAATAGATCGCAAACAGAGAAGGATTGCTTGTGACCACGGTGAGTTGAAGAAGCGAAAGCCGATTGAAGAAGCGTGCAGGGCGTCGTCGGTCGCAGTCAGGCTATACAGGCTTTCAAGTACTCTGGCTTTCCAAGCCATGGTTATCGGCAAGGGCGGTGCCGAGCCTCTGGCAGCTGCGCTCATAAAATTGGCACTAGAGGGGGACGAACCACACTGGTTAATGGATGGTACTTTTGATGTGGGTAGTATATTCGTGGTTCAACCCACCTGTAGATAATGGGAGCGTCTGCGTCACTGAACGTATCAAGGCCGCCCACCAGATGAACTATCTTGATCAGCCCGCGCACATGGCCGTCTACGGCTTCCAAATTGGTATCTGCGGCCTAAGTGACGAACAACGTATCATGGTCTAGTTAATCCTCTCATTCCAATGTGCTAGGTGAGACGAATAATTGTGAGATTGAGGGAGAACAGAAACGAACCTCTACGCAGATCATATGGGCGATGATCACTGCCATAGACTGAAGTAAACTTGTGCTCGTGCCTGGAATCTGCATCATGCTCTGGAGTCCTGTGAGAGCCTTTTGCCGGTACTCCAGGGAATCCCGATAAGAATCTCGGGCGGCCTTGGGGGCCTGCGCAATGAGCCCCCGGCCGGCTCGGTGGGAGGCACTGGTTGCCAGGATGATGTACAAGAGGGCCGGCTGCTCGATTGACTGCTGCCATCACCACATGCTGACGCCTGTCGCTCCGAAGGGATAGATCGACTAGGAACATTCGGTTCGGTCTGGAAAGAATGATCAGATAGGCCACTGGCGTTGCTGCGACCGATACTACTACTCACAGTGGTCAAAGTAAAGCTCCACACTGGACTTGGCAGGCACGCAGAGTGAAGCAAAGGGATCAATCCCAGCGGGCCGCAACGCTCGGTCGAAGGAGCATCCTCCCTCGTATTGTTCCATGGGGAGTGTGGTGGATCCCCGGTTGGACGGAAGGATTAGTGGGTTAGACCGCTGAGTTGGCAGCGGGCCGATGGAAGCTTTCAGCTTTTGCAGCCGTCATTCCTTTTTGGATTGATGATGCATCTTCTTGATGAAGGCCTGCTTCTTCTTGGCTAACGTTGGGCCCTGAGAAGCCTGGTCCTGGTAATCGACAAACAAGAAGCTAGCGGGTTGTCTTCGGGGTTCATCATGACGACTATCAGGATCGATGATCGGGGAATTCTGGCGGGCCAAGCCCTGAGCACGCGGTTCCTGCGTTTGTATTCATTGCTTGGGCTGAAGTAGGTATCGCGTGGGTGCAGGTGAGGGATGGTCGTTAATTCACTGGCGCGACCCAAAATGGCTTAGTAAGTACTTTCAGATCATGTGACTGTTGTATTACCTATAATAATAATTTTAAATTATACCATCTCTTTCTATCTTTTTATTATCTACTAATATTATTATTACTACTACCACCACCGACCACCATGGCCGAACTCAAGGAAAATATAAGTATAACTACTTTTTCAGTAGTTTATAACTACTTGATATAAGAGAAAAGTAGTTTTAAACTGATTTTATTAATGAAAATAAAACTATTATAAATAATACTTGTATACCGTGGCTGCTGGCCAGCTGGTATTTTCTATTCTTATTCAAGTTAGTATTACTTTAATAAAATCTTATTTACATACTTGCGAAGTAGTTAATAATTACTTGTTAACTATTTAAAATAATAATCTTGAGTATAAAGTCTATTACAGAGAGATCTTCTACAGGATAAAGAGATATATAAAGAAGACTGTAAGTATATTTTCAACTATTTATTAATGATTTGCTAACTACTTGCTAACTATTAAAAAAAGAAGCAGTACTTGTCTATGAATAATCTATACTTATATTTATAAACTTATAAGGATTTTATTACCAAGACTGGTAATAAGAAAAGACAGATCTTATAAAAGCAGATTAATAATACTATTAGTAAATAAATTACTTACCAGTTATTTATTAATTATTTATTAACTACTTGAAAGAATGGTACAAGCAACTATTTAATAACTTTATTATAAAAAAATAACTTTCTATATTTATATCTACTTATACTCTGAGATCTAAGACTACTACTTCTGCTGGTTAAACCTTGGTATCCAGTTTTCTTAGAAAGTTAAATATTAATAGATATTGTTGGCTGGAAATCAGGAATCCTTACTAACTAAAGTAATCATCTCTTGACTACCCAACTCAGCTGAGAATCCCATACAAATT